GAAAATTGAAAGTGAGTTGAATCCAAGCAGCTCTAAAAGATTTTAGAATAGTTCTGCATCCTGAAGGCGCTCCGCCTGTGTTTGCGGTGTTGCTTTGACCATTTAAACATGCTAATTACACAAACAAAATGTTTAGCGCACTGTCTCTGGAAATATAAACCGTGATTGATCAGCCTTTATTTTTGTATTGTAGACGTTATTACTAGGCGAAGCAAAATTTGCTGAAATATCCACGACCTAGGCTACAGTAAGAGCGCATGGTTTATCTGTCCATCAGATGCTTGTCAAAGTTGAGTTCGTTACTATAACAACAGTAGATCAAACAATCATTGTAAAAAAAAAAAAAAACTTTGTCGAGATAACGAGAAAACAACTCTCGTTATGTCGATATAACGAGAAAATGAAGTCGTTATAACGAGAAAACAACTCTCGTTATGTCGATATAACGAGAAAATAAGTCGTTATAACGAGAAAACAAGAAGGAAAAAAATAATAATGCATGGCGGCTTAGAACATCCGTACAGTTCCTTTAAAGGCATAAAAATTGTATTCGCTGTTCCGTCTCCTTTTCAGCAGTGGACAGTTTTGCTCTCCATCTTAAGACTCTTCAAAACCAGCCATTTTTCCACAGCTTATAAAGAGCCATTGAGTCACAAGAGAGCAGAGGTTGTTCAGGAGTGTCCGTTGAGTGTCATCAGGGACGAGGGTTTGGTAGGGATGAGGTGGGGGTTTCTTACACTTTAATACAAACCAAAAACATTCACAGCATCCTCTTTGCAAATCACAGCGTTTTCCGTTTACGCTCCTGTCAGTTTTCCGATACACGTGCACCTTAGGATATGAAACATTCATTATCTTATCTCGTGCAGGCATCCAACCCTCCCTATCTACCCAACAATTCAAACTCTACTATGTTCGGAACAGCAAACAACTTTGCTGAATCATCTTTAGTGGTTTTTGTCTCATTTGAAAACGCTTGCTCAACAGTCACCGAAGGACCCGAGGTGTTTACGCTGAAGACTTTTCTTTAGAAAGTCCTTGAACGTGGTGTAGTATCAAGAAGTGAGGGGGAAGCATGAAGCGTAAAGCCTGTAAACATTTAGCGCTTTGACTAATAGAAGTGTTTAGCGTGTGGTGGATGTTTGGGAGAAATGATCTGAGCAGAAAGGCCTTTAGGTAGCTGTTCGCCATCAATTCCTCTCGCCGTTTTGCTTATCTGCTGCACCTGACGCTGTTTGTCTTGAGATATGAATGAAGCGTCTGGCACGTGCTTGTGTGTAACAGGAACTGGCCTGTGAGAGGGGTTTCCTGATTAAATTGTGAACGAAACATTGCTCAGCCATGTTACAGGCCAATGATTAGACCAATTTCTTTCTTCTTTTTTTTTCTCTAGGTCTTGTAAAGCTCGGGGTCCACTGTGTCACATGTCAGAAAGTCGCCATAAAGATTGTAAACCGAGAAAAGCTCAGTGAATCCGTCTTAATGAAGGTAAGATTTCATTTTTGCTTTGGAAATGTCAGTTTTACACACAAGAATGGTCTCCTGTTCTTTCTCAAAGATATAATTCAGTCCAAAATGAAAATTTGAAAAAAATAGCTTTCTTCTGTGAAACGCAAAAGGAGGAATTTAGCAGAATGTTAGCGCTGCCCTTGTCCATGCAAATAAAGTGTATAATGACAATAATTTATATTTAGTCATTTAGCAGATGCTTTTATCCAAAGCGACTTACAAATGAGGACAATAGAAGCAATCAAAATCAACAAAAGAGCAATGATATGCAAGTGCTATAACAAGTCTCTGTTAGCTTAACGCAGTACACGTAGCAAGTTTTTTTTTAAATAATATAATAAATAAAAAGAAAACAGATAGAATAGAAAAAGAATAGAGCAAGCTAGTGTTAGAGGTCTTTTTTGCTTTTGTTAATTGTATAATAAATGAAAAGAAAACAGATAGAATACAAAAAGATTAGAAAGCTAGTGTTAGCTTTTTTTAAAAGAAAACAAGCAGCAAATGAATAGAGTGCAAGTCTAAAAGGGGCAAGTGTTTTTTTTTTTTTTTTAAAGAATAGAATTAGAATAAAGAGTGCTAGAGTTAGAGGGTCAAATAAAGTTGGAAGAGGGAACATTTCATTTAAAAGTCCGTAAAAGTGATTTTGTGCTTCTTTAGGATGGCACAATAAAACGACGTTCACTTGCAGAACGCAAGCTTCTAGAGGGCACATAAGTCTGAAGTAATGAATTTAGGTAAAGGGGTGCAGAGCCAGTGGTGGTTTTGTAGGCAAACATTAATGCCTTGAATTTTATCCAAGCAGCTATTGGTAGCCAGTGCAAATTGATAAACAGAGGTGTGATGTGCATTCTTTTTGGCTCATTAAAAATTAATCTTACTGCCGTGTTCTGGATTAATTGTAAAGGTTTGATATAACTGGCTGGAAGACCTGCCAAGAGAGCATTGCAATAGTCCAGCCTAGACAGAACAAGAGCTTGAACAAGGAGTTGTGAAGCATGTTCCCGAAAGAAAGGGCCTGATCTTCTTGATGTTGAGTAAAGCAAATTTGCAGGACCAGGCAGTTTTAGCAATGTGGTCTGAGAAAGTCAGCTGATCATCAATCATAACTCCAAGGTTTCTGACTGTTTTTGAAGGAGTTATGGTTGATGAGCCTAACTGGATGGTGAAATTGTGATGAAGTGATGGGGTTTGCTGGAAGCACAAGCAGTTCTGTCTTAGCCAGGTTGAGTTAAAGGTGATGGTCCATCATCCAACAAGAAATGTCTGTTAGACAAGCTGAGATGCGAGCAGCTATTGTCGGATCATCAGGATGGAATGAGAGGTAGAGTTGAGTGTCATATTTTTTATATTTGTCAAAATTTTTAATTCATTCAATTTCATTGTATGGAAAAGGGCAGCATTAACATTCTGCTAAACTTCTCTTTTTGGTTTCACAGAAGAGAGTAAGTTATAAAAACTCTGATAAGAGATAGAGGTTTAACTATTTCTTTAAGAAAGATAAAATATTTTTCAATATATGCCAAATATTTTTGAAAGCTGCGGTAGAGGGGAAGCTTTTCAGTGAATAACAACATAAAGTAATTTGATATTAATTTGAAAAGGATGTGTCAATTAATTAATCTAATCGAAAATTACATTTGGTTGTGAAAATTCCCCCAAAAGATTATTAAATGCTATTTTTGTGTTAAATGAGAAAGTATTAAGTAGACATTACAAATAAATAGTAGCTTTAGAAAAAAAATATTTTATTTGATTCAACATAAAATGTAATACACCTAAACGTTTAGCCTACAACGGCCTAACATAAACTAACATAAAAAACATAATTTGAGAAACATCTCGTTCATGCAGTGGAAGTCATTGGTAACCAAAACAGCTGTGTTATCAACAGTCTTCAACAGTCCTTCTGTCTCACAAAAGAAAGTAAGTCATTCAGGTTTGAGTAGCCTAAATGATGACATAATAAATATTTGGGGGGTTGGTTTTTCCCCCCCTTTTTTTTTAAATGAAATAATACTCTAAATAAGAAACTAAAACTGCCAGCAGGTGGCGGTAAATGTCTTAATGAGTCATTTATTCATTCATTCATTTGATTTATTCAAATGGCTGATTCATTCAGGAATGAAGTAAATGGCTCTCTTTATGAATGGGACTTTGAATCATTGTTTCACACGATTTGTTCAAAACGCGGATTCATTCAGAAACTAAACACAGCTGTGTTGCTCGGAGACGTAGGCCTACAACAATTTTGCTGTGGCTTTATAGGTAATATTTTTGTGGGCAAAACTGACAAAATAGACACAATTGTGTTTAAAATATATAACAATATTAACTTCTTATTTACTGAACTGTTGTATAAAATCACATTTGCACTCGTTATATTCGGGATAAAAACAGCACTCGTGTGATATTGCTCTTGCTGCTGGTGTGATATCGCTTATCATATGATATAAATATGAGACAAAACCTCATACAGGAGAATTTTTTGCCCCAATATCTTGAATTTCAGGGCATAACTGCATTTATGGAGTTGTTGACCTGCATCATATTTGTCAACAGTCAACTATATATGAAATGTAAGATGATGTACAGGTTTGGGGCGGGGCCAGTGCGTTAACTGTGTTAAAATATTTTAATCATATTATTTTTCATAACTAATTAATTAAGTTAACGCATTAAACGGACAGCTCTCGCTCTCTCTCTATGTATATGTGTATATATATATATATATATATATATATATATATATATATATATAATATTGCTTTGTGTATAGCTTTGTGTGAAAAAGAAATACAATTTAAGTTGTTATTCAGTAAAAATCTTCCCCTCTGCTGCAGCTCTTGAAAAAAATCTTGTTTTTTTAAAAAAGAAAAGGTCCTAAATGAAAATTCTGTTTTTTTTTCTATGAATATTTATGTTACTTTCTTCAGTGAAACACAAAAGGAGTAATTTAGCAGAATGTTAACACCTTTTCCATGCAATGAAAGTTAATGGTGACCAAAAAGCATCACAAAAGTTGTCAACAGTGAATAATGACAGAATTTTCAACTTATGTTTGGGTGTTTAATGCTCTAATTTCCGCCTCTTCTTTATCCTAAAGTTATTCCAAAATAAAGATAAAACAAATTAATTAATGAATAAACAGCGCCTACAACCGTATAATGTTATTTATTGCCTGTAAAACTATACTCTGGGTAATAGTTGGCCCATAATGATCTCCTCTGATAAAAGCAGTCATGAGAACACAGAGAAAGATCCTGATTAAAGATAATTGTCTTTCAAGGGAAGTGTATTAAAATATGAGATGCTTGTTATTATTTGGAAATGGGGGCAAGCTTGTTGAATGCCTTAAAATGAGAATATCCCCTAATACATACGTTTAAAATGTATAATTTTAGATGCAAACCTAGAGTAACTGTTTTCCTTTTGCTTCAACAGATATTAATGAGGAAGGGATTTGGCCGGGGACGAGCAGCAATAAATAAACTCAGCAAGATTAGAGACCTTAAACACCGCAATTCTTTCAGATATTTGCACATTTGAGGTTTCGCCAGAAGGCAGAGGCTCAAATTAAGATCTTGCTGGAAACAAGCAGCACCTGAGGCTCAGAGACTTATGGTTTTGTAGGAACGCCAACACAATACAGTTATGTTCTTATTAACATTTTAAGATGAATGCCATTTGTAGAATATATATTCATATATATATATA